TTTACATAACGCACAACTCAATTCAAAAGTTGACATGTCTCGGCATTTTTTATAATTTTCTAAAATAATGACATAAAGAATTTTATTCCATAAGTGGTTTCCACACTGTATATGATTTAAAACCTTTTGTTTGTTTCTTTTTTTAGTATATCGATGTTTATATCACCTACATATATTTCTAGATTTTGATATTCTATAGAATTTAGGTATGTTCCTAAATTATCTAAATACATATTTAAGTCGGTTGCCGGAAGTCTATAGAAGGCGGTAAGCACAATTTTACAATTTTTTGGCAAATTACTAGAAGTTAAAATAGCTCTAAGAAATTTGGTTTCATTTACAGGTACGATATTAACATTCGCTGATATATTATTTCTTACATAAATTATGGAACCGTTGCATTTGTTAAATATTGCCTCATCATGAATATTTTTTATTTTACCTGTTTCTGATAATATAATTGCATCAAGTATATCTTTAGCCATTTCAACATATACCAGTAGCTCATTAAAATGTTTTTGTAAGCTTCTAATATTAAAGTGAACAACTCCCAGTCCATATCTGTTTTTGTCTACCCTTTCCTGTATAAAGTCTTCGAAATTATTAACGCATTCCGTCTGAATCTCTTCGTCGTCTAAAACGTTCAAAAATTCTATCATATCATGTGACTATTGAGCACCCTAAATATTTTGTAGAAATTACATGTTTGTTTATTTTTTTTACTTAAAATAGAAAATAACGAAATATTGATGATAAATAAATTTCAGAAAGAAGAATACAAAGAATCAAAAAATATATTTAGAATTTATTTAATTTTAAGTTTTTAAACAAGAAGACGCAAAGGATTTTTTTTTTATTTTGGTTTCTGTTTAATAGTAAATATTCATTCAGCTGTAAATACAATATTAAAATCATTTCTGTTCCTTACAATATATACTTTACTGTCCTTGTTTACGTAGATTTTCACCGTTGTTTAGAGAATTCAATGGACTTTCAAACGATGTGCAACTCGACCTATATTCCCATTTCAAATTTCAGAGGTTGTTCATCTCACAGCGCGAGGGTTGTAGTAACGGTACTGCAAAAAGAAACTAAAATCGACGTGCCTGAGCGTTATCTTACATCTACTATAATTATTATTCAAAACCTTCATGTCTAGTTCTCGATGGTATAATAAATACTTTATAATTTTACACAGTAGTTACCTATCTATCTACCTAAATTATTTGTTTCTTCTACAAATATTTAAGCACTTCTTTGAACACTGTAGAGAGTCAAATTTAAAAAATGTACATTAATTTCAGATTTTCAGTATTACTGCGACACCTATACGTAATAAGTATAACTTCGACATTAAAGATTAAAGATTTCCTTTTATGATATTACAGAAATTTCAATTAACGCTTTGTGCTGCCCTCTGTGACTACATAGTAAAAGTGTGTGATTATGGATCTATTCAGTAGAGCGGCTATCTAAATAAATAGTGAGCATACTCTGGTTTGAACTCTGAATACGGTTTTGAATAATAAATGATAATAAGCGATGTTGTCAAGTTTGTATATTTTCCTAATTTATCGGGTTACGAATAAAACATTATTTTATGAACATTGCAACCATAAGACTTTATAAAAAAACTCTTATAAACTTTAGGATTATAGTTCTTTAAGATTTTTTACATTTAGAATGGTTTGAAAATTAAAAGTATAATAGATTTTATCTTGATAGTGAAAGTGTTGGATAAACTAGACATATAAAATTATAAAATTACTATTACGTATCTGTATCTGCAAGTGGCGAAGGTGGGTTGCCATATAGCACTTAGGTTTCACTGGGGCCATTGTGCATCCTGCTGAATTGGTGAGGCTACACTTAGCTTGTTAGAGACTTAATCTAGTTAACAACTTCTTTAAGAGGTTTCTCTCTTATGTTGGCCAGTGTTAGTTAATATTCAGCGAACACAACTATCCTAACATAGATGAGAACGTTAGGCAATCATTCGCATGGCCTACAGTACGCACCACTGGCGTAGCCAGCCATTTTTCATGGGAGGGGTTTTTGAGAACTATGGGGGTTCCATCAAGAAAGTGAATAAAAACAAACAGTCAGTAGCGATCAGCGCCAATACTATAGCAGAAATGGTGATGCGAGAACCCTCCATGGGGGTTTCTGATCCCCAAAACCCCGTAGCTACGCCACTGGTACGCACCTCCTAACAGAGATGTGGTATTGAGATACTTTGATCCGTATTTGGCAATGGTCAGTTAGAATGCTTGGGATGAGGTGCAGATTCTGTCTGATCATACTCAAGTACTTGTTTGCTATAATTTTGTCAGCGTAACTTAAGAGCTTCCTAGCAACTCTGTAGTTTCTTGTCTCATCCCACAGTTTCTTAAATTTTACAAGGGAATGTTTATTATTAGATTGGTCACGACTGATATTGTAAGTCCAATGGAAGGGCCAGGTCTAAAACGTTTTTGGTTGGCTTCTTTCTTGGTGAGTGAATTTGCAAGACCTTTCGACGTCCCCTAGGCTTTGATCCATCTTAAGGTAACCACATTGCTAATTGATACTTCGACCAAAGCTTGATGATATTCTAGTAAGTCTTGAGTAGATTCGTGGTCTGTCCCAGGATGAGTAGTGCGCTTATTTAATATCTGTACAGTTGAGCATGTTTTTTTCAGTGATATTGTTTCAGGTAATTTATTTTGCTGCTATGAGAAGCACCGTCAGCTGTTTTAACTACGCACTGGCACTATTGCGTACAGCCCATTTTATGTTTAGATTTAAGGATCTGGAGTACTTACAACATGTTAATTTTTCCATCCTGACTCCAGAAGAGCGGTATGGAAACACAATGCTATATATTAGAGAAAATAAGAATATACGTGCAAATCGTAATATTCCATGCTTGCCATCGAAAGGGCGTGGTTAAACCAATTACTTTCTTTATCGCAATTATGTCCAAATAAATAACAAACTGTATAGACTATTACATAGGTAACTTTTGCTTGCTATCAATAAAAACCAAAACATTTTTAAATATTAATAACCTTCTAACTACATAATATAGGAAAAACTAGAAATATAATAAATATATTCCTTGCATCTGTAGCCTTCTCAAGAATCTAACTGTCCTAATGGCCACATACATGATCAGTGATCAAAGATAGTTGTTGACACATTAATGTACAAACTTTCTAAAAAAAAACCTTTTATGACAAAAATCAAGCCTGATGGACTGATATTAAACAAAGAAATAAAATAAACTTTTGATATAGGCCACCCCTTAGAAGGGGATGTGGCTTAGATCCAAACGAGCGACATTGGGACATATGGTCAACAAAAAGTTATTGCAAAACTTAGTTCAAATGAGCTGATTCTTGTAAACTTACAGGGTGTTTCAAAAAAGGTTACCCCGTTGATAGGTTAGGTTAGGGTTTCCGATCTCGGCAAGAAAGATCGATTCTTAGTATCGATCCAAATGGTGGAGCCAAAGATCGATACAAGAAAAATCGGGAGGAAAAAATATCGATCTCGTAAAGATCGAAGATCGATTCTTTTTATGTAAAATATAAAATTAAATTTAATTAATAAAAAATAGACAAAAAAATTAATCTTTATTTTAAATATAAACATTGTTTGGAACTTAAAATTGTTAATATTCAAATTCTAAGATTTAAAACTATTCAAAAATACGAGTTTATTTGACATTTTTCCACTTTTTCTATCAGGAGTCATCAGATTTCCTGTTCGAAAAAATAGTCTCTCGGATGGAATTAATGTTCCTAACACACATAAAGACTTTTGAACAACTTTGTTTAAATTGTTGAAAGGAATTTGACTATCTATGCCAATATTTAATAAGATCTGTTGTCTTCAGATTCGAAAGAGGTTCATTCAGGTAACATTTCCGCTTTACGAGAATACTCAAATATCCACAAAACACTCTCACATTACTCAAAACGGCGATAACGATCAGTGAATTTATTCTTTTGACGTTTATGGTAACCACAAAATACTCGAAAAGTACATGTAAGAGGTGGGCTAGAATCGATCTCCGATCTCAGTACTTTCCATCGATATATAGATCGATCTCTGTTTTGAAAAATCGATCCTAAAAAATCGAAATCGTGAAACAAAAGATCGATTCTCGATAAGATCGTATCGAGATCGGAAACCCTAGGTTAGGTAGAGTTATAAAAATTAAGTGAGGCTAGGTTAGTAAAAAAAAGTGTCGTAATGTCATCCGTTTTCGAGTTACAGGGTGATGATGCAGAAACAAGTTACAACTTCAAATCAATATTGTCAAAACAAGAAATTATCATAATAATAATAATAATAATTGACCATTTTAAAAGTTTTATTTTCATTTACTGAAATTCAGAAAATTGGTTTTTTAATTTTTTTTTTCTCGGTAGCGGACTCAAGACTCAATACACCAAAAAGTTATTATTATTGTATTTCATGTTCTATCAGCGACGCACTGCAAACATTTAGCTTGTTCAATAATGTAAGCCCACAGCGTAACCAAAAATTAAAAATTTGAGATATCTTAAAAACTTCAGAGCTATAAAAAAAACAAAAAATCTAGGTACCTAACCTAGCAACGGGACCTTTTTTTGAAACACCTTGTATACCGAAGAAACACGATTATTCAATGGTCATGGAAATAATAGCGCTACTCCCTGAGGGATGCAGAAGCTTAGAACAAAAAAGAAAATTTACAGATATGTAGGAACAATAATTTCGTTTTTACAATAAATACTTAAAGTATTAGTGTATTTTTGAGACGTATCAGTATTTGTCAAGGTAATTAATTAATTAATTTTTAGACCTGATGACGGTCTAATACCGAAACCGGGTGCATTTTTGAATAAATATTTTTATATGGGATTGATTTCTCGTCATTTTATTAACAACTAAAACGGTATATAAATCTTGCTACAACTATTCGATCTGGCAACTGCGTACCGATCCGAACACACACGTTGATTCCAATGCGCGTATCGTGAAACTCTAAAAACGAAAACGAATCTTTGACAGTCCTGGTTTGACAGTTCGGTTTGTAGGTGTGTGAATCTGCTAGAGTGTTCAAACCTGTGTTGTTGATATTTGTTGACTTTTTGATATGAACTGTATGATAATTAGTAACTGAAGACAAATTATTGGGTAAGTAGATTGATTTACACTTTAATTCTTTTCAGAATGTTGCCTTTTTGTGGAGATATTAATGATTTGTTCAACATCTGACCTTGCCCTTGCTTGATGATGATCCTGTTTTTCTCTTGTAGAGGAAAATCGTAGTTTCCTTTGAGTGTTTTTAAGATGGTTTAATAAAAAATATGTCAATATTTGTATTCAATTATTTACAAGAAAGTTTAATATAAATATAGTTTTAAATTAAGATATTGTAATCTTATTTGTTGTTGTTTAAATATAAATAATTGGGTAGATGTGTAAGTATATTGAACTTTAATATCTTTTTGTTTTGATGTCAGCAGTCTCGTGTAGTTTCTATAGGATTGCGTAAACTTTATTATCTCAATTGTAAGGCAGTAAATATTTTTATTTTATTTTGGAATACCTACTTATTTATGTATAAAAAATATACTTCAAGTTAGTTTTACTGTATGTAGGTACCTTCATTATTTAACATTACACTGTACCAGAACCAGAAGCCTTTGAAATAATAAATTGTTTATTTCCTTTAGCATTATCATACACCAACCTTTGACGACTATATTTAACCCTCATTTCTGAATAAAAAATGTTAAACAACCCACGCGGAAATTATCTTTAACACATGGCCTGCAATGTCACCCTTATTTCATCAACAATGGATTTGGTCTTTTTAACTTCAAACAGCCAAAATTGGACATTGTTCTATCTTGAACCCACCCATAGATCTTATAGATGTAACATGTACAAACAGATCTTCTTTTGTTCTAACTTAACCCATCAAACATTTTGTATAGGGAAATAAAAGTCCAATAACTGTTACCCGAGTTGTTACCCCTTAATTGTAATTATGGTAATTTAACTTTTATAATTAAAAGGTCGGCATATATAGGTCACTACGGCCGACAGTCGGGCCGAAGTCACTACAAATACTTACCAATGCACGTAACAGATCATTTATGAAGTCACAGCCTTGCAGTGTTGTCTGATCGTCATAATAGTCGAGGAATTTAGGAAGTTTTGAAATTGTAAGGTTATGTTTTCTTTTTGTTATGGTACTAGAAACAATTATTAGTGTTAAAAGTATATAACTAATGGACAAAAACCGTGACATCGGACAGACGGACGGATTTTTAAAAAGTTGTTTAAAATATGATGGGATGGATATTGGTACAAAAAATTTTAAATTTGGATCAATATTAAAAATTTTGGTTTCTCGAAACTAAACCGACAATACTCTTCACAGACTACTGTGTAAAGAGTATAATAATGGAAGAAAAGATAACTTCTATTTGCTTCCAAGGCTGTGGAAATAAAACATAATTTAATTTAATTTAATATTACATAAAAATTATTTTTATACCCTGGTGGGGCAGTTAACGTGTTATGACAGAAAATAGCTATTTGTGCGGCATTTTATCGTAAGCGGCAAATAGCTTTCCTCTTGAATTACACACAAGATTTTTTCTACTATCACACGATATTAAAAGTATATTGTTTTATTTTGCCGAATTCAAATCTTACTACGTTAATTTGACTAGCAAACGAAAAGTATGGTGTGTCTATTGTGTTGCCTGCTTACCCTAAGATTAATTTTATGATACGCATAAAAAATATTTGTAACTTTCCGCCTATATACGGCAATAATGTCAAACTATGAAAATCCATGGAAAACTTCAACTTTCCAGTTAGATTTGAATTTTGCAAAAGCCTACGTTGGATAGTAGAAAAATAATAATTAACTACCTAATTAAACATAGTCTTCTACAATACCAGTATCCCATGTGACTAAATTGATGTCATCAGTTTGCTAAAAGTAACATTAATAATAAATTTAGTAGTAACCCTAAACCAAAATTATTGACGTAATTTACAGGACTGATACTTAAGTTGTCATAAAAGTCACTAAGAATGGCCATTATCATTAATTTTCTTGTTTTACCAGATCACTTGGGATACGGGATAAATTTCGAAAATATGCTGTTGCAACATACCTTCTAGAACAATAGAATCTGTATTACTTTCAAACAGTCTCTAAAAAGCCATTTTAAATACAAAAATAAAATAATTAAATTAATACCAATATAATATCAACGAAAACGTTGCGTAAAATCGAGTACTATCCTGTAACACATCAGAGAGATGGATGATACTCGCGTATCGGGAACAACACCAATGTAATTGTAATTTCTGTGGTGGGAGGTGTTTGTGTGAATGCGTCTTGTTTGTTGTCATTTACGCCGTGACTAGCAGTAATATTTTATAAACCTTAGAAGCAAATTTCACATACATGAACAAATAATAATAATAATAATGTCGTGACAATAAAAAGACGAATCAACGACTTCTCGTAGGGTGGCGGCTTCGCCGCCACCAAAAAATTTTGATCTATACCTGGCTACGCCGACCGGCATAAACACCAACGGCCTGGACACAGCTCACCTACTCTGTCAAAAGGAGACCGATGTACAAGCAAAACGCGTACGACATGCGCACTACAAATCATTGGTGTTGTCCTCGATACGCGAGTATCGATGATATGGATCTAAGAGTCAGCTTGTACTAGACAAAACCTAATCTGTTCCGTTAACAACCAATACAAATTAACCATCAGCGGTCACCAGCCAATAAGGTAGCAGCACATGAACTCTCGTCAATTTGCGATAGGAACAGAGTTGCCGAGCATTAATTAAGTCCAGCCTATTACGTAGATCGGTTTTCTAAGGACGGTCGTACGATAATAAATTACAATAGTGCATTTTATTTTTGCAATTTGACAACTGTAATCGGTGTTGGCTATGCGGTGTTGTGCCGGCTCTCTTTGTGAATAATATATAGGTATAAACAGGGGCGGCTTGTAAACAAAATTTTTGGGGTTCACAGTAGCAGAATATAGATCTCTGTACAGATGTAGGTAAGAAACTGTCAGTGTTTTAGAAAGGTATATTATAAACTTTCTAAAACACTGACAGCCGTATGCATAGTCGATCGCCAGCGACTCTCCAGAGATTCATTTCGGCGTATCGCCAGCGATTCGCTGGCGATCCGCCGGCGAAAGCCCAAAAATCTGGCGACTCGCCGGAGATTGTCACCAGAATGTCATTTCACGCAAGTTTTCATGTTCTTTTATAGGGAAAAATTTGATATTCGTTCATTATTTTTTGAGTTTTAAGAAATGAATCGTGAATAAAATGCGAGAGATACCGGTGATAATCCCTATAAAAGAAAATAAAAACTTGCGTGAAATGACATTCCGGTGACAATCTCCGGCGAGACGCCATCTTTTTGGGCTTTCGCCGGCGGATCGCCAGCGAATCGCTGGCGAAACGCCGAAATGAATCTCTGGCGAGTCGCTGGCGATCGACTATGCATACGGCTGTGAAAGTTTTTTCATACATCTGTACTGATATCTATATTCTGTCACTGTGAACCCCCAAAATTTTGGTCACGAGCCGCCTCTGGGTATAATAGTAATTCTGAAATCTAATTGAGAAACAACGTAAAATAATTCTGTTTTTTACTATACATGTCCACTCGTTGAGTATATAGCATCTAAGAACGCGGGACGAAACCGTTCTGGACTGTTGGGGTTGGGTCTGCGGCAGTTGTCTTGACTTTTGCCATGGTTTTACCCAATACAGTTACTAACCCTTCATAAAAAAGGCTAATATCTGCAGATTTTTACTGCCTAGGGTATGCCGATGACCTGGCGATCGTCGTGAGGCAAGTTCGCAGGTACAATATCGGAGCGCACACAAACCGCTCTAAACATTGTCGACGAGTGGTGCAGAGAGGAGGAACTAACAGTAAACCCTCACAAAACCACAATAGTCAACTTTACAAAACGAAAAGTACCAACAGGACTAAAGTCACCAGTACTGAAAGGAGTGAAGATTCCATTCGCTCAAGAGGCCAAATACTTGGGAGTCATCTTTGACCACAGGTTAACATGGAATCAACACTTTCAAAAAGTCACCCAGAAGAGCACAACGTCCTTCAACTTATGTCGAAGGTTGTGTGGAAAAAATTGGGGATTACAACCAAAAATGTCCCTGTGGTTATATACCAGAGTCATAAGGCCGATGATAACCTACGGGTCGGTGGTATGGTGGCCAAAGACTAGGCAAGCTGGAGCCATTCGACAGCTCAATGGTATTCAAAGGCAAGCATGCCTGAGTACCACGGGAGCTATGAGAACGACTCCAACAGCAGCTATAGAAGTCATGCTAAACCTAACACCACTACATATATTCATTCAAGGCGAAGCCAGGTCTGTCACATACAGACTGCACAAAGGTTCATCGCCCATAAGCAGTTTGCATGGACGCGACTACAGCGAGCTATATAAAGAGTTGGAGAACGACCAAATAATGGGAATGCCTTCAGACGAAATGCTTCCAAAGTATAGCTTTCAAAAGCAATATAAAGTAAGTATACCAGACAGGGAAGCGTGGACGGGAGGACCTCCTATTCATGCAGATCTCACCTGGTATACAGACGGCTCCAAAACCCATGAAGGTTCAGGAGTAGGTATATATAGTACCAAGCCAAAGACAAGAATCTCACTGAGCTTAGGTAAACCTGCGACAGTATTCCAGGCAGAAATAGCAGCAATACATCACTGCGCAAAAGAAGTATTAAGACAGAAGGTAAATGGAAAAACCATTGTCATATACTCAGACAGTCAAGCGACGTTAGAAGCACTCAGTTCCATGCAGGTAAACTCAAAGCTTGTGTGGGACTGTTTGGAAACCCTAACAGAGCTGGGTAGTCAAAACAGACTAACAGCCTGGGTACTAGGCCACAGGGGACACAAAGGCAATGAAGAGGCTGATTTACTAGCCCGAGGAGGAGCATCAAATGCTCTTATTGGCCCAGAACCCTTCTGCGGTGTAACAAAAACAACTATCAGAACATGCACAAAGCAGTGGATGTTTAAAAAATCTCAGGAGTGGTGGGAAAACTCACCAGGACAGAGACAGGCCAAAAAG